AGCAATTGGTACACTTACTGGTTTTGAGTCTCCCATGTTGAATCTTTTAAGAATTCTCTCTACATAATCTTGTTGGTGCAATTTTAGAGTTCTTTGATCCCTGTTTCTCACAATCTCCATTCCAAGAATCCTCCTTGCTGAACCAAGATCCTTCATCTCAAACTCACTTTTCAACAAATCTTTCAATTCTGAGATTTTGCTTGAGCTCTCTGAGATCAACATATCATCAACATAAATCATTAAGTATATTGTTGTAGAGTTCAACATCCTTTTCCAGTAAACACAATGATCATAAGAGCTTCTTACAAAACCATTTGCTAATATAAAAGAATCAAATCTTTTATTCCATTGCCTAGGTGATTGTTTTAGACCATATAATGAACGTTTCAGTAGACATATCTTCGATTCTTCACCCTTTTTCTTAAATCCTGGTGGTTGATTCATGAATATGGTCTCTTCTAATTCTCCATTYAGAAATGCCGTAGTTACATCCATTTGCTCAAGTTCCCAATCAAAATGAGCAACTAGTGACAGAATAACTCTAATAGTTGAGTGTCTAACCACAGGTGAGTAAACTTCATTATAATCCATCCCTGCTTGCTGAGTGAACCCTCTCGCTACTAACCTTGCCTTGTATCGAGGTTTTAAATCATTAACTGACTGAGGTTTAATCTTGTAGACCCATTTACAATCCACTACTTTTTGTCCCATCGGTTTGTCAACTAGCTCCCACGTCTCGTTTCTTTTCAAAGAATTAAGTTACTCTTCCATTGCATTTATCCATAAGTGACTATCTTTTGATTTCAGTGCCTTATTAAGAGTGATAGGCTCTATGCCAATTGATTCAGTAGCTACCATCAAATCGTAAGCCACTAAATCAGCTTGACCATAGCGTGAGGGAGGCCTTATTTTTCTTTTCTTTCTATCTCTAGTAAGCTGATACTCTGCAATTGAAGGTTCAGCTACTGCTTCTTGTCTTAAATTTTCAACATCAATGTCTTCAGTTGTACTTTCCTCTTGAGACATTGATGGTTCACCAACAATAACTTCAGAATTATCAGTTCTAGTACTACGCAACTCCATCTCTAGCTTCTTGTCCTTTTCAACTGAGGTTGTTGGTAATTTTTTTGACTTCAGATATGGCATCTCATTCTCATTAAAAACAACATCTCTGTTGATTAAAGTCCTTGCTCCTCCAGATTCTAAAGACCATAATTTATAGCCTTTAACTCCATCAGGATATCCCAAGAACATACACCTCATTGCTCTTGGTTGTAACTTATCTTGTTTTATATGAGCATAAGCCATACATCCGAATATTCTCAGATTGCTCAAGTCTGGTGGTTTGCCTGTCCAAGCTTCTTGTGGAGTTTTAAAGTTCAAAGCTGAAGATGGACAACGGTTAATCAAATAACAAGCTGTTTTTACTGCTTCTCCCCAAAAAGTTTTAGGCAAACCAGCATGAGCTATCATACATCTCACTCTTTCTAAAATGGTCCTGTTATATCTCTCAGCCAGACCATTTTGTTGAGGATTTGCCTTCACAATGAGATGTCTCTTAATCCCGTAATCTTACATAATTCAGCAAACTTAAGGTTTAAGAACTCCAGCCCATTATCCGTTCTTATCACTTTTACCTTTTTACTCATCTGATTTTGAATCATTACTAACCAATCTTTGAAGACCTCAAACACTCCATCTTTGTGTTTTAAAATAAATACCCACAGCTTTCTACTAAAATCGTCAATGATGGAGAGAAAATAGTTTGCTCCACCATGAGTTTTAGTTCTTGCTGGCCCCCAAAGATCAGCATGAAGATATTCCAATTTCTCTTTGGTGCAATGTGTGGCTGCCCCAAAACGAACTTTAGTAGCCTTTCCTAGCACATGATGTTCACAAAAATTAAGATCTACTTGTTTCAATTTACCCAATAAACCTTGCTTTGAAAGATAACTCATGCCTTTTTCACTTACATGAGCTAATCTTTTGTGCCAAAGCTCTGTCAATTTATGGTCAGAATTTATTGTCAAAGCTGTAGCTCCACCTACTGCTTTACCATTTAAAACATATAACCCATTTTCAAGATTCCCTTGCATCTTTAGCAACAGTCCTTTAAAGGCTTTCAAGCTTCCTCCTGCTGATTTAAAGTTATAAACAGATTTGTCTAAGGTTCCTAATGAAATCAGATTTCGTTTCAACTCAGCACAAGTCTTACATCTGGAAGTATTTTAACTTGACCATTATCAAGTAATAGATTCACTGCCCCTATGCCTTTTACAGAACAAATCTGATCGTTTCCCATTAAAACCTTCCCACTAGTTATAGGCTTAAAATCAATCAACAAATCTCTATTATAGGTCATATGGTTTGTACATCCTGAGTCTAAAATCCATTCATCAGATGCAGATTTTTCAGAAACAAGTAAAACTTCTGCTGAGTCGTAACCATCAGTTACATTTGCTGAGCTATTTTCCTCCTTTTTGTCATATKTATTATCTTTTTGTTTCAATTTAGGGCAAAAATGACGAATATGTCCTTCTTTGTTACAGTTATAACATCTTTTTACCTTCCCTTGAGACTTAGATCTACTTTTCCATCTCTTATTTCCATTTTTCTTATCCGGCCTACCTCGACCATAGAGAGCTTCACCTTCCTTCTTCCCAACCTTCAATTCAAGGTTTCTCGATCTCAATGCTCCTAACACAATGTCTAAAGTCAAGCTATCTCTACCATATTTAATAGCTGATTTAACTTCTTTGTAATTTTTAGGTAAAGAATTTAAGAGTATAACAGCCTGATTTTCTGTGTCAACCTTCTCTCCAGAGTTTGCTAAATCGGCTATTATCTTTGTAAATTCATCTAAATTCTCCTCCAAGTCTTTTGATTGATCCATCCGAAAACCAAAGAGTTTCTCTTTTAGATAAATTTTGTTAGGAAGTGATTTGGAAAGGTAAAGAGATTCCAATTTAGACCATACCTCTCGGGCCGTGGCTTCTTCTCCCAATTGACGCAACATATTATCTGCCAGATACAGGATAATCGTACTGAATGCCGTTTCATCCCATTCCTTATACTCTCCTTCTTTCAAACCAGATAGTTTGGCTGGATCCTCTAACGCCTTCGCTACCTTTTGCTGAACTAACACCGCCTTGGTCTTGCGCCTCCACAACGAGAAATCGCCTTTTCCATCAAACTTGTCCACTTCGAATCGAGCTGCCATGACTTCGAATTTCAGCCACTTGCGATGCTCAAATTAAATCTGTTATGGTTAATTCAATATCACAAAATGCTCTGATACCACTTGTGAATACTAATTAACAATGTAGCAGATTCTAATTCAGCAAAAATTGAATAGAAGAAGACGAACAGTAAAAGGAAAAATTAAGAACAAAGGGAAGAAAAATGCCGCACACGAGTTTAGAGTGGTTCGGCTAAATCATGCCTACATCCACTGTGAGAGAGAGAGAAATTCTTATTCTGTTATGAGAAGTGTACAACTCACGTCCTTTATACACATCAAGCCAACGTGGCTAACAATTGGGCTTACACACCAACAAGATTAAAAGCCCAATTGATCAACAACTAATGATCTTTAGTGCTATAAGTCAATTCTAACATTCGTTTATAACCTCAAAGTGTTATTTGGTTCATTAGAGTTTAGGACGCCCCTGTGGTTATTAATTTTATGATTTTGATTCTATCGATGATTTTGATCTGCTATGTGGCATGATGGATGATTTAATGTTGGGTTTTTATTATATAATTTCTTGATTAGATATGTTGGAATTAGATGTTGTCTCRTGAATTTAAGGGTGACGAGTTTAGAGTAAAGCATGATGTACAGATATTATGCTTGACTGGTAAAAGCACGCTACATTGTCGTGGTTTGATATGTTGGCAGAAACGTGCTCTAAACATGTTGGCAAAAACTAGTTCTAAACATGTTCTGTATGTAGCATGTTGGATTTTTCTGACTTTGAATGATGCATGAGATATTGACTTAGAAAGCATTTTATATGGCTTTTGTGTGAGAATGGAAAATGCCATGAAGTAAATGGGTGAATATCAGGGTCCGATAGGACATGAAAGAGTGACKGGACATGAAAGAGTAAGTCACGGAGGAATATGAAARAATGAGAAAGAGCTTGAAAAAGTTTGAATGAGTTAGAGATTCTGGTTAGGGGCAGATTCACGTGGAGGATTTATATTAAACATAATATAGTATGCTTATGAATTAAGAAAACTGCCTTTGCCTTGTTGGTTAYCTCTTTTGTAAGTTGGTGTGCCCTACATCCTCGAAGCATAGTTTAACAGATTTAGACACATGYGTACGACTAAATGGGTTAGCGTATTTTGGTTTTTTAAATATATTTTTAAAAAATGTATTTTTTTCATTTAAAATAAATAAATTTAACTTTTATGTTTAATTAAGGTTTTTTTTATACCAAATATGTCATTTATATTATGGAACATTTTTTTTTAATAAATTTAAATTCGTAACCCTAATTAGATAGATTTTATAATTTTATCTTTTTACTCGATAGAAAAACTACTTGGTTCAAAAAACTAAAAATAAAAAAAACTACAAAAAATCAATATATATATTTTTTAATAAAAATCAAGTTTGATTTCAAAATTTACTGTCAAATAATTATAAAAAACTTACAAATTTAAGCCAAAAAAATCAACTMTCTTTTGGTTACTATCAATTATTTCATACCAAAAATATATTTTCTAACTCATCTGTCACGTAATAATATTTTTTTAACAAAATTTCAATCGATCGAAGGTTAAAATTTGCAACGGGTCAAAATTATAATGCTTATCTATGTAAATTGATATATATTRCTAAGTAAAATGTCAATTACGTTAAGCTAGGCTCTGGCAATATGAATTTTTAAATTGAAGGGGTTTTATCATGATTTTTTTAAATTTTATTTATTATTTAGTTTTTGAGACAAGGTTTTATAGAATTTTGATTTGAGAGAATTTCAATACAAATTTAAAATAAGGTTTTGGAACCAAATTTCTCCACTTTATCSAATACCCAAAAAAATCCTCAAACTCCGACGACCCGACCACGAGATCAGATCGGCGACCGGCAGCAGATCCACGAACTCCAGTGACCCACGACGACGAACAGCGGCGCTCCTCAATTTCTCATCTCAAGCTTCAGGTTTTGATTAGCTGTACATCTTCAATCTCATAGCCTTTAGTTTCGATTCCTCATTTATGTTCATCGCTTGCTTCTGCCCATCTCTCGCCACATCCAAAAGCTTTCTAATCTTCTTCTAATCCATTYGTTTGATTCACGTTGTATGCTTCGTTTCTACTTTTTCATCTTTCCGGTGACCTCTTGCTTAGATTGAGCTTGTTTCTGCCTGTTTCGAATCGATAAATTCGATTTGTGTTGGATCTGATTTCGATTTTTTTTGGCTTTTAATCCTTCGTTTAACGTTCTGTTAAATCTGTGACTTGTGTGAGCGACGAATAGGTTTTAGATGGTGACTGTCGCGTTTTTTATTTAGTGTTTTGAGATTAGTGAATATTTCTTTTGCTTCTTCTTCTAATCCTTGTTTCTCATCTACAATTCACTATAATCTTGCCTTTCTCCGTATCTTTGGCCACTGCCTTTCCCCAATCATTAATTCTGCTGACTATGTATTTTTTTCAGTTAAGTTTGTTTCACTTGTGAATTGTGATTAGAATATTTTTTATGTTTTGTTAATTGAAATCTGTAGTATGATTATTTATATATATATATGTGTGTATTTTTTCATAGCTACATCTCGTAAATGGCTGGTAAAGCTCAAATCCCTACCAAAAGCTCAGCGCTTATTTCCATGATTGCAGATGAGGTACGCTGTATGCCTAATGTATTTTCGTATTGCACCAGTTTTCCTAGCTACATTATACTATTAAATTGTTGACTTGAGGTTAATTAGGTGTTAATATTTTACGTTTCTCTGAACAATTCATTTCATATTAATTTATGTGATCTTATTGCTATGTGATTTTGATGTTTGGTTTTGTTTGTACGGTTAAACCATCCACTTATATGATCTTATTGTTATGTTATTGTACTACCTCATAAACCAGCGTCGAATTAATAGTATATGTATGTCAAAGCAAATCCGCTTGTTAAATTTGAATCACATTTACCTAAATAGTTAGTCTTGAGCACCAAGAATAAACTCTTTATTATTAGTTTTTCTATAAAATTGTCAACTTTGCACAATAAACAACATCCATTGTGCAAATTTATTCTTCTTTGATTTTAGGTTTATTCTGTTTAGTTTATTGCAATTTGCAAGGCATAATACATGGCTATGTGTTTAAACTAATGAATGGGCTCTAGCTCATTTTGTTGTATTATGCATCATGTACTATGCAGTGGGGTATTGCCTATATGTTTAAACTAAATTTAGTTCATAACAGGATACTGTGGTTGGATTTCTTCTTGCTGGAGTTGGTAACGTTGACCTGCGAAGAAAAACTAATTACCTTATAGTTGACTCAAGTAAGTATCTCTCTAATATATATTGCTTGTAACTCTGGATTGCTACTTCTTTACGCTCACACTGCTTGTCTAAATCCTATGAAATTATTTCCTGATTATAGAAATTCTTGTGTTCAACATGTGTTGATCTGGTCCTGGTCGTTTGTACATGTTACTTTGAATTATGTTGAGTTAAAAACTTATTAGGTGGGTTTCGGATTCTACCAAAAAATTGTAGAATCAAATGTGTTTTTGATGAATTCTTCCTGGTTGGGATATATTAGCCCATATACTTTTATGGAGTTAGATAATGAACTATCTAAAAAGCATTATCCTTTTGTAACTTACCTAATTAAAATAAAAAAGCTGGATGTGCTTACCTACCCAACAGCCTACAATTTTAAAGAGGTTATTTAAGATAGTCCATTGGAAGTATAGCTTTTCTCAAGAAAAAGTTTCAATGATATATGTGTTCTGAATCAGCTTTCCAAAATCTGTAGTATTTCACATTGGAACTGAATTTTGACCAAAAAAAGAGGAACTGGTTGAACCAAGATGAAAATTGTTTTGCCTCAAATTTTATCTAATTACAGAATTTACCATCAGAGCCAAGATGGAATTCACTAAACAATGGGTCCCATTTGTTTCAAAATTTTACCTATAAGAATACTAAATCGCTAATAATAAAACTATGGGTACAATCAAACTAATAAAATATAAKTATATTTTATTCTTTAACTAAAATGTATCAATTTTTGTTATTATGATATATAAAAGATTGTGTTAAGATGGGATGGGCTGGGTTTGGAGTGTATGTATGTATTTGTCTCAGTCCCTACATATAAATTAGATGAAATAGATTCTTCATCTGATTGTCTAAAACGGTGCCCAGTGTCTGCTAGGCTGCTAAGATCAGCTTGCTAGAAGTGGCAAAATACTCGAATCAGTTTGTGCAGTTATTTGGTCATTACCAAGGGACATAAAATTCACATATTTTAAAGTTATTGAGTTGCACTTTATTTGTGAAAGAGGTACATATCTTGCATTATCTATATATTTTTCTTTTTTGATCTTGCATACAGCAAAATATGGTTGCTTTGCAACATATATGTCTTATATTTATTGTTTTATTGGAAATATAAGCAATGAATATGTAAGGCAGGGATGAGGACTTCAAAATATGGGGAATTGTTTAGCCTTCTTATCTTTTGTAGAATTTTCTAGCCTTATTCATTAGGTAACATGTGTAGTTATTCCTGTCAAATAAAGGTCCAAGTGGACCAGCGATTTTCCCATTCAACATTACCAGTATATGGACTTGAATATTTTTGTAAGAAATTTAATGTAATGTTTTCTCTCACAGATTTCGTAAGAAATAGATAGAAAATAGGGAGGCTTTTGTGTTTTAGTTCTCCGAGATGGTGTCCTCCATGCAAAATAGATTCAGAGTCACAAGCTCACCTCTTCCTTCATTTCTCCTATGTGGAACTTTTTGGAATTGTATTCTTTCCACCTTCAATTGGTGTGTGGACCACCCCTTCGAGATCAACATTCTTCTGTCAACAATATTTTATAGGGCTCCTTTTAAAAGAGAGAAGAAGATCCTTTGGCTTCAATTCACTAGAGCCTTTTTTTTTGTCCTTTTGGCTTGAAAGGCATAATAGAATCTTCGTCAACAAAGAGAAGTCCTTTGATCGTTTCTTAGATTCTCTATCTTTTGTGGCTCTTTCTTTGTGTAAASTTTTTTCTCCTTTTGCTCATTGGAAGAGATTTTTGCAGTTTCTTTGGCTAGAGTCTTGGCTTTCCTCTTCTTCTTTTGCAATATCGTTCATTCTATAGAATTGTCCTTATATAAAAAAAGTAGCATATGAGATATTTGCTCACTCGAACCAGTGAAATTCTACGAAAGGAACTCAGACTTCGATTGTCAAACTCCCATTACACTACTCTTGCTTTCCTTCTACCTCCATAGCTAGTTCTTGGTGTGATGATCTGTTAGTCTCTTACATTCCCTCCTACTTGGCCACAACCACATTCATTCCATTCTCCAACTTTTGGATCTCTTCTGTAACATGCAAGAGCTCGTGCTCCACTAGATCCAATCTTGTCTCCATTTATTCATTAGCACTCATTCCCTCCCACAATCTCATCAATCTGACAGTAGAATGATAGAAACTAGTTATACTAGTWACATTTAGTCATGAAAGAAAAATTATATAGACCATGGGCAATTTGRGAGACCCCAAGCTCACCCAGTTCATTGAGATTCCATCCTATGTTATTAACATTATCCTTTATATACTTCCGAACTGAACTCTCCCATCATTTACATTACACTCCCCTTCCCAGCAGTTGTGAGGACCCAATGGAATCACTCAGTAGCCGAGCTCCCCCTCTTGGCTTTGGTTCAATGGGTGACCACCAAGATTTTCTAAACAGCTTTAATTAGAATTTAATAAAAGCATCACTAGAAGCAAACGGTTAGCAAAATACTTTGACCAAATAATTCCAGCATCGTCGAGTGTAGGAGCRTTAAAAGAACCAGTGCTAAGGGATTTTTCAGGTGCCGTTCTTGAAACCGGGTTTCTATTTTCAGGGACAAAAGTTAAGTGAAAAAAGATGTTATCATTGTCTTTATTTATTTATTTTTTACCAAGGATGCACCAGAACTAGATTACCAGCAAAGCACTGGAATCTAGCTTGCATTTTACACAATCCTCTATAAAATTTTAGTGAACAGATGTCATCCTTATCATATATATATATATATAAATATATGAGGAACGGTTAACACCATTTATCAAATTTGGTTCTAAGAACAGAGGCCCACTAAAAATTCTGCAGTAATAAATCATATTYTTGTAGTAAGGATTGCTGTTTTGAATATTAATCTTGCAAGTAAAGGATATTCAAAATGTTCTCATGGATTATTGTCCTAATGTCTCAGAGACAACTGTAAAACAAATTGAAGATGCATTTAAAGAGTTCACTACAAGGGAGGATATTGCAATAGTGATGATTAGTCAATATGTAAGTTATTTCCTGAAATCCCTTTCTTTACACTGTAAGTTCATATGATTTGTATTTATTTGTGACTAACACTCTGGTGTGATAATCTGTTGACCAGTTACCATTTCTTCAACAGCAACCCTCTTGAACCCCATTTTTCYTTTTTTTTTTGTGGGATGGATGCAAATTTGATGTTTCTGTATATGTTTTTTCCTTCGAGTTTTCAGGTTGCAAATATGATCAGGTTTCTGGTAGATAGCTACAATAAGCCAATCCCTGCAATATTGGAGATCCCCTCCAAGGATCATCCATATGACCCCGCACACGATTCAATTCTTTCGCGAGTAAAGAACTTGTTTTCTGCTGAATCKGTGGCATCTGGGAGGCGTTAAACAGATACTGTGTCCTTTGCCCCAACTCTTTATGTTATGAAGTCATCCACCTTTCTTCAAATATGCTGCATTTGTGTCTTGCCATGAGTTTTATGTTGTAATGATTCTATTCATATTGATCACTTGAATAAAACTTGAAAGAAACATGGCACTAGAGGAGCTTTGAGTGTCCAAGCACCACACTGCCATTCTTTTTCTTGTACCTTACATTTGAAACACCAACTTGAGGCATTTACATCTATCCATGTTCTATTGTCCTCTTGGTACATGTTTGGCAAAAACCAATTGCCTCCATGATATTATAGTGTTTAAATCCAGTCAATGTCCATTTTACCGATTCATATTATTATGGTCCAAGTAGCACTTTTTTCTTCTTTCTTTTTAATTCAACATGTGGGGATAGAGATTCAAATCTCCGACCTCGTAGTCAGARATATAAATCTTAATCAATTGTGCTATGYTTAGGTTGGTTTCCAACGAGTAGTTTGATTGTTATTATAGATTGTATCTTGCTAATATCAACCTTGAGTTATGAAGATCTTCTGCACTTTGTTTGGYTAACAGGCAACAACGTCCCTAAGGGATAGCTTGAGTGGTTTGAGACTTCAAAGAATATCCTTCAAGTCTTRGGTTCAAGCCACAAGGAACGCAATTCTACCAAACAATGATCCCTTGCGTATGTACAGGTGTAAGGACAATGCGYATACCCTCAGGTATAGGAGCAAAAACAGGCAACAACATGCTTCTAGGAACCCAACCATGAGCTTTATAAGTCCAGGATCGATGGAAACAAATAAGCCGTTTTGGTGGATGAAGAAAATTTTACCTGTTGCACATAGGATTGGTTTTTGTGTGACCTGTCCACAAAGTAGAGTGTGTGGCCTATGTTACTGATGGGTGGCTACTAAAGAAAATGCAACCTCCCTTGGTAACACCATCAACAACCCATTTTCTTTAGTGACTCTATAAAGCTTAAAGCCATTTGGTTCTAAACAAAATGGTTTTTCAAACAAAAATTCCTGTGTTATGGTCAACAATTAAACTTATCTTCTGAGGTGGAGGAGAAATAGCAATCAAATTGGAGGTGATTTATGATGAGGTTGCTTAACAATTGAAGGTTTTTTTTTTTTTTGTTGGCTATCTTTTGTAGCAAACTTCCTACTTCTCTGCCCCTACCAGAGAAATAAACTTTAATGCCTCTACACTAGAACTGACAAAATTCTCTWCGAGGTCGAGGATTTGGATGGATGGATTCCTTATTCTGACCCTGATTATCCAAATTAGATAATGGGGTGCGGACGTGGATTAAAWATCCTCATGGGGTCCACGATGGGTGGGAATCCAGCACCCTGCCACTTTGCCATTTACATATACTTTCTCTCTTTTAATTCCTTAAAACTAAAAAACAAGCGGTGGGGTGAGCTTGATCAGGATCGTAAGTTGCACTGGGTTAGTTGGAAGCGCATGTGTTTGCCTAAATGTATGGRAGGCTTGGGGTTTCGTGATCTGGAATCGTTCAATCAGGCTTTGTTAGMTAAAGAAGGGTGGCGGCTTCTCTCTGACCCGTCTTCCCTCCTTGCCCGAGTTCTGAAATCCAAATATTTTAAGACTGGTGATTTTCTGAGTGCTCGGACAAGATCCAATGCTTCTTTCATATGGCGGAGTCTCCTTTGGGGTCGAGATCTTYTTCATACTGGTCTTCRGTGGCGAGTGGGCAACGGTGAGTCCATTAGAGTTTATTCTGATAATTGGATTCCTATGGATGGGTCTTTGTCCATTCGCTCACCGATTTCATTATCTGTGGATAGCTTAGTTTGTGATCTCCTATTACCTTCAGGTCAGTGGGATGTGGAGAAAATTCGACAGCACTTTCGCGATGAGGAGGCTTCCTCAATTCTGAATATTCCGCTTGGTGTTAGTCTGCTGGATAAACTCATTTGGCATTATGACAAAAGGGGACAATACAATGTTAAAAGTGGGTACCGTCTTGCACAACGCAGCATCRTTCATGGTTTGCCTTCTCCTTCTTCCCTCGAGTCTCYGTTACAGTGGTGGAAGGGGTTTTGGAAACTCCAACTCCCTAGTAAAATTAAGATTTTCGGATGGAGGTTATGCCTTGACCGTTTACCGACGAGGKAGAACCTCTTAGCCAAAGGAGTTGATGTGCTGAATTACTGCAGGTTTTGTGGCCAAAAGGGGGAAGTGCAGCCCATGTGTTTTGGTTATGTAAAAAAATGCGATCTATATGGCAGTGTTCTAAATTCTCCCATTTTCTCCATCTTCTGTGGGTGCCGGTGGGATCTGATATGGGTCATTTTATGCGGGTGTGGACGGATCTGGTTTCTTGGCAGCATATTGGAGCTATTGTGGTGTTGTTGTGGGCTATTTGGAACGCGCGTAATCAAACTCCCCAACATTTCTCATTAGGTGGCTCTTTGTCGGACTTGGTTTCTTGGTCGGAAAATTACCTCCAGGTTTATCAAGCGGCTCAACGGAGTTCTGSGTCTGCTCTAGTGGTTTGTCGTCCTCCTCGGGTGGCTATCTGGCGTCCTCCTGCAGCGCCTCTCCTTAAGGTGAATGTGGATGCGGCTTTCAGAAAGGAATCTTTTGTAGCAGGGGTGGGTGTAATTATTCGGGATTCGACCGGTCTTGTGTATCTTACAGCCATTCGTCTGCTTGCTCGTGCTAGTGATGTTGATTGGGTGGAAGGCTTTGCGGTTTATGAGGGTATTCTCCTTGCTGTGGAAGCAGGTTTTATTCGGTTCCAGATCGAAACAGATTCACTCCGAATTTTTAATTTATTGACGACAGATTGTGTGGATGATTCTGAAGTTGGGGTTCTCTGCTCTGTCATCAAGCTTTTTTTGTCTTCCCATGCTGAGCGGGTTTCTTTTAGTTTTACACATAGGAATGGTAACGCCRCAGCCCATCTATTAGCTCAACTGGCATTGACTTCACCACACCTTCAAATTTGGGTGGAGGAATGGCCTGATGAGATCTCTTCGGTGTTGGCGGTAGATTGTAGATCCCGTTCTTAACTTTGTTCGTATTTTGCCTTAAAAAAAAAAAAAACTATCAAATATGTTTGATTATATATTTTTTAAAACAAAAACTAAAAAATAGTTATCAGGTAGAAAACTAAAATATAGAAAAATAGCAATGGTTATCAATCCAGCTTGATTAATTTTTATTTAACTTTCTAACTTACTTGGAGGAGATATCCACTTTACTTTATATTTTTTGTTCATTTCAACTATCCATCCAAAATTATATTAAAAACTTTAAGAAATTGTTAATAGTGATGATAACATTTCAGTGTTTTTTTTTTTCAGAAAAGAAAGACTTTTATTAAGAAGAAATAAGATCTTGATTCGTACGACAAAACCAACATACACTTTTTTCTAATTTGAAACCGCTGCGAGCAAGATARTGGGAACAAAAATTACTATCTTTGTTTACTTTATTAAAAGAGATGGTGCCGCCAGTATCTTGAAGATGTAAAATTTCTTTAACTACCCACGCTATTTTAAGATCATCATCTTCCCTTCATCCGTCTCCAGCTGAATAAGATAAGAAACCATAAACAGGAGGTTCTGCATCCCTTCCAGAATAGCCATAGCTTCCAACATCTTCACACTCCCACAATTATCGACGAAATGGTTGCCTGCAAGAATGATGATACCTTCCTAATTACGCAAGACCCACCCAAGTCCCCCTGCCTGCTGAGTCTCCGACCAAGCCGCATCAGTATTCAGTGTCCAGGTAAAAGGGGGAGGAGGGGTCCAGGTAATTCTTGCCTTAATTTCTCCATTGTTATGACGTGTTGTTTTTGCACTGGTGATTTGTCGGTCYGATCTTGTGTTGTTTTCGATAATGACTTTTCTTACATTGTGAATTAAGATCTRCGTATTAGGGCTCTCCCTTTTGAAAATCACTGTGCGTCCARATTACCCACGAACTAGTCATCAACATCTCCACTTCCTCCATTGTCACATGATCCAAGATTCATTCCCACTAGTCCCAAAWTTTCCAGCTGCACTTGTCAAGTGAATAAAGATCCAAGTAAGAACTTAGCAAAGTTTTCCACAACGATTTGGATACCTTACAATCCCAAAATAGATGAGTCGACGATTCTTCGGTTTTCCTGCAAAACACACCATATAAATAAGTAGCAATTCCTTTCTTACAAATATTTAAGGGGAATCATATCATTTTAGTGTCGTTGGTTCAAACATAAATTGAGAGTAGGTTTGAATATTTGACTTTTAAGACCTATTATTAATGTYCGAGCTAGTTAYTTGAACCAAATTTAATAATAAATATTAATTTTAATATTAAAAGCGACATAGAAAAATAAAGAAAGCAGCCGACACCATCAAATAATTTCTCATGTTTTTCATACGAAGTTGCCTTTTTTATTTTTAATGAAAACTTAATTTATTATAACAAATACCTTTGATTTAAAAAAAAAAAAAATCACGTGACCAAATCTCGAAAAAGCAGCCCCACGTGGGGAAGCAGTCAGGCCAAATAATAAATAATTTGGAACAAGTTGGCCAATTTTGTATTAACAATGAAAGATTCTATCTTTAAAAAATATATATAAATCTTATTTTATTCCCAACTAAACTTCGATTATTTGGTTACCTTCAAATTTTCATAAATCATTTAGGTTTAGTAAAAATATATATTTTCATTCATCCACTGATAAAGCGAAGTTTAGGAGATAAAAGATCCATTTGATTTGTGATTTAAAAATATGTTTTTGAAAATAAAGAATGGAACACAAAATAGATTTCTTTTATATATATATGAGACAATTGTTTTCACTATTTACGTTTTCAAAAAATTTCGAAATAAGTGCAACAAACATGCTTCTATTGTTTTTTTGTTCGTTATTTTCTTTTTACATAAAAATGAAAAAAATCACGAATCAAGGAGAGCCTAAATATTTGAAAACATAGATAATTTGGTTAGACATCAAGTGGTTTGAAAATTACATTCAAATTTTAAACAAAAATTAATAGATAATTAAAAAAATTTCTTATCTAAAAAATTTAGAGATTATAAAAAAAAAAATTAAGATCAAAACAAAATAGGGAGGACAATTTAGAGATGAAAAATAAATTTGTTATTATTATGATTATTTTTGTGTATAAATATGATATATGTCTGTGGTGGTAAGTTATTTAAACATGTTCTTTATCAGTTTTATTTTATTTTTTCTTTTTTTGACAGAATATCAATATTCTCTTTTAATGACAGTTCAGGAAATCTTCAATGTTGTTGTTTTTTCCCTTTTTATTGGGATTGAAAAGCTAGCCTTTACTGATCAAATGACACATCTTTCATTTAATGTTGTAAAATTTTATTGCAAATGTTCCGGAAATTGAGAAAAATATATTTAAAGTTTATAAACGGGTGATTGATAACTTTGATAGTGTTTTTTTTCCTATCTCAATTTTTTATGAAGTTAGGATAGAAATATCGATAAAATTTGAATCTCGATTGATACTTTTAAAAAAATAACAAAAATCAAGAAGTTCATAAAAAATATTTAAATTAATTAACAAGTGTTTCACATCCTCAAAATGAAGCTAAAAATTAGTATATTATTAATATGATGTTTATATCACATAAATGATATTTTACCCATTAATTATGTACGATATAATAGAAATGTCGATTTAATCTCGAACTCAAGGAAATGTAACACCCTGCAAAAAAGTATAATACATTTCAATAATATTATTAGAAATAGTTTTTTTTTTCTTTCTTTCTTTCTTTTTTATGTGGCTAGTTAAATGGTAAAGTTGAATTTTATCAGAGTTACAAAATCAGTGTCCCAAATTAGTTTCGGATTAGTTAACTTTAACGCAATTTAATTGACTAAAATATATATATCCGATGAAAAGGTCACAAGGTTCGAAATATGAAATTTCCACCATGTTGTATTAAAAACAAAGTAGAGTTGAATTGCATTTAGCTCATATACATATATGTTTCTCTCAAACAAAGCACTTTATTTAACATATAATATACATATATATAATTCTTTCAAACACTTTACAAACTACCTTATATTTCTAACTTTTATTGGTTAAATTAAATAAATGTTGTCCATATATTTAAAATAATATAGTTTTTGTCACCTGCACCATTAACCAAATACTAACGTCACATGTTCATTAGATAAGTTTTAGTTCAATTTACAATATACGATAAATAATTTTAAGGTTAAATTATAAGGTTAAATTACAAGTTTGATCCTGTAATATCAATATCGTGTATATTTAATCTATATACTTTAAAAAAGTTTTTAATAAGTCTCTCAATATTTAAGGCTCTGTCTATTTAATCTATAGGAAGTATCTAAACTCTTAATATTGTGTTTATTAGTTCTTGTATTTTTATAAAATTGTTTAATTAACTAAGTAATCAAATACACGTCTATTGGACACAAAAGTTAAAAATTCAAAGATTTATGAACTAAAAATAAAACAACTTCAGAGATGAATTAAAAAAATTTTAAAGTATAGAAACTATTCTTTTTCTTGACTCCGAAATACAGGAGGGTTCAAACCTAGATCTTGAGCGCCAACACCCGAAGGTTCTTATTGAATAGGCATCTTATAATCTGTCCCGACTTCAAACAAATTAACCAACTTGTCGCATGTAAGAAATAATAGAGTTTGAATTTGAATTTGGATGGTCGAAGATGGGTATGAAATGGAGATTTGGAGATTGACATTTATTTATTATTTTTTTAATACAACGACATCTCGGATGGATGTTTCAACACACGATTTTAATAGACAATATATACCTTAATCAGTTGAGTTAGACCAACCTAACTCAAGTAGGTGGAGATTAACGTTTATATAATTAACGGCGGAAAAAAAGGAAGAACTTTATGATTGTGAGAAGCAACGACTATGGTGACCCAACTGCAAATCCGGTGCATAATCCACCAAGCATTCAAGGCTAAATTAAACCTTCAACGCCACATAACTCCTAGGACAAAAGCCTAGCAAATTCATATTTTTCTTTCTTTTTGTTGTCTTATTTTCAGGTTTGTATCACTCTCCATCTAGGTTAAATGTATGTTTTTTTAATTTTCTTTGAGTAAAATAAGTGGAGTTCGAGATTCCAATTCACGATTTTTTGTCAGAGATTAGTGCCTAAACTAGTTGAGCTAGTTCAAGTTAACTAATATTTATATATTAAATATATGTTTTAATTGATAGCATTTCCATACTTTCTTTTTGTTTCTAGTGTTGAAGCAGTTTTGATTTTTTTTACCATATGTTGACATTTCAATTATATCCTTTCGATCGGTGAATGTTTAAATTGCCTCATGATAAATTTACATGAGATGTTATACCTAGTGAGTACGTAGGGTATTAAATTTTCATTGATATATTGTCATTTCTATCGACATTATTTCTATATGTTTATGGGTTTGACATCGACATGAGGAGTGAAATTTCGATAGTATTGCATAAAAATTTGACAAAATATAGAAAATATCAACAAAATATTACTACTATAAACATAATATTAATATTAGTAACCAACCTGAACATAACTCAAGTAGGTAATACTATTTATATATATATATATATTAATATTAATAATTTTTAACTTCATTTAAACATAGTGAAATGTTTTATTTGTTAATAGATTTTTTTATAATTTTTCAAAAAGTATTTATTGACATCGGCATTTTCATAAACTTGAGACCTCAACATTTTCGTCGATATTTATAGTGTTGCAAGAAATTTAGAGAACTAATTAGACGGAGAGTAATACTTTAAGTAATAAAAGTTAATAAATTACTCTTCTAATTTCTAGGTACTAGTCATAGATTTCGACTTTTAACTTTCTTTTCTCAGGTAGCAAAATATATATGCCATGTAAATTTATTATGAACTAATTTTAACCTTCACCCAGGGAAGGAGTATATTGAAAAATATTAAGATATAAGCGTCTAAATTAATTGAAACTTTTTAAATCTTAGAGACTAAATTGAAAAGACACTTTGACTTAA